CTCCACAAACCCTAGTGCTCAGACCGTACCTTGACGTGGACCGGGTTATGGGTTAGGTGCGCGCGATAGATGTCACTGTCGGACAGAAAAGGACCAAGGGGAGGGGAGTAAAAAGGAAATAAAATATGGGAAAATAAAAATGAAAACTAACCGTCAAGTCTATGCGAGGGCCTAAGCACTTGCTTTAATTCGGGGTTGGTCGGTGGTCTAATTTCCTAGCTGCGGTCGCTGTCGGATAGCCTAGTCTGCTCGGAGTTGAAGGGACTGTCAGGTCCTGGTGGTTGTGATTCGGGCCAGGTGCGGGGTTGTGGTAGCGATAACCCGTGCAGACGTCTGGACCAAGTGCTGGACTCCAGTAGCTGTATTCAGGGGTACAAGAGAATTCTGAGGCACTATGTTTTCTTTTCCTTCTTTGGTATTATTATTATTATTATTATTATTATTATTATTATTATTATTATTATTATTATTATTATTATTATTACTGTTGTTATTGTTGTTACTGTCGAGTCTTTTTCTGATTTCCTTCCCTTTGTCGTTTCGCGGGAAGTCGAACGGCTCGAAATTCGAGCGCGGCTGCAGTCTGTGGCCCTGACTGACTTGGCCTGTCTCTTCGGTACTGATGGTTGGGAGGCGCAATCGGGCGCCGCGCAACAGGACCCCAAAAGAGGGGCGACCCGCGGTCGCATCGGCACGGGTACCCGATAGTGGTAAGCCTACTGTGGGTTTTAGAGAGGGACAGGCGTCCATTCATAACCCGTTATGGGACCTCCGCGTTGTGTCTGCAGGCCACTTTTGAGCCTAAGCAGAAGCTGGTGATATGACCGTTGATGTCATGTCACTCGTCTTTCCTTCTCTTTTCTTTGCTTTGTTTATCTCCTTTTATTTTTAACTTTATTTTATTTTTATCTTATTTGTTTTGTTTTATTCAACTTGATTTGAAAACTCAGTAGATAAAAAGCACAGAGCCGTGAGAAGTGTCGGGGCTCTTTATTTTGAGTATGGAAACGCGATAGAGAGCGATCCTATAAGAAGAGGGGACTGCCATTTACTGCGGAACACAGATGGTCTCGCTGTGCTATCGCGAGGAGGGAACAGGAAGGCCAAGTGGGCGTGCAAATCCGCCTATGTGCCCCTGCTTGTGCACCTAGAAGTCGGTACTGGCTATTTGGGTCAGTAGGCGTGGCTGGTGCGGTTTTTGTCGAGCTAAACCCGGCTATGGCGTTGCATGGATATAGACCCGGTTATTGGTACCACCAGGCTCGGTGGAGACCCATGTCTGGGGAAGGGCCTTGGATCACGGTGATACTTAACTACGATGGAGGAGATGAACTAAGACTGAGAATCAACGTGGAGGGGCCTAAGGAGATGGAAATGCGGACTGACCCAAAGCTACAGGACGCTATCACGGAGGCAAAGGATCGTGCGGAGAGGCGCTGCAGGAGGGACGGAGTGACAACGAAGATGCAGGAAACGGTCTTGTATCATGAGACCGAGACCTCGATGGACACAGTGGACCTGGAACAAGCCCATCTGGACCGGGACTCGGGTGGGGAGAGCGAGATGAGCGAGGCAGGAGATCGGGAGACAGACCTTCACTCCTGGAACAGACCAGGCCAGGTCCGCAAGAACCACCCGCTGGCACGGCATGTGGAAGGTGGGCCCGAGGCCAGCTCGCGGCGGTAGAGTCCCAGAGGACGGGAGACGGAAAAGAGTGAGTGAGTGAGTGATCGACGCGAGGTACGCGCGCGACACGTGGGGCAGTCTGGGGAGTGAGAACAGGGTCAACGACGGAGAGAGGGTCGAGAAATGAACGCGTGTGCTGGGATGCTGACGTCAACTGGACGACAGTGTGTGACGAGTCAAAGAGAGAGGGCCATAATGAGCGGTGCGAGTGACTGTGAGAGAGGTGCTCAGAGTGCTAACGTCAACCTTGACTTTCGTGTGCGGGAAGTGAAGGCGAGCAGATAAGTGAGCGGCCTAGAAGTTCATTCACGACGACGGGAAAACAGATCGAGGTCTTGCCATGCGAAAGAAAGAGACTATGTGTGAGTGGTCTTAGTGAGCGGGGGTGAGAGAGGGCTCTCGGGAGACAGCGCGAATGAATGAGAAGAGGGGAAGTTCGTACAACGGTCAAGAGAGCGACTTGTCACTCGTGCGTGTTCACCTTCCATCTCCTTGATGTCTTATCGCATGGAGTGAGAAAGTCGTGGGAGGATCGTTCCCCTAGAAAGGGAGGCGCCGCGACAGGGGTTGATAATGTTAGTTCTCTAGTGCGCAGGAGGCGTCAGTGGACGGACGCACGTCCAAGAAAGGTGCTCAAGAAAGGGGAAACTCTCGGGGTGCTCACGTCAACTTTGATTTCAAGCGCAGGAGGCTAAAGAGGGCACACGTGTGCTAGCCTGTGAAGAGAGCAGGACATATGAGTACAACCTGCCAGATGTACACTGTTGTCAACGCCATGCGTCTCCTTTGAGTCAGGGCTTTACGTTTGCCAGAGAATCTGCGTGACTACAGGAGATTAGAGAGGATCAATAAGTCTTCTACAGACCATTTTCGCTATGATGCCGCAGGACGGACTCTCTCGGGCTTACCCTTACTGACTGTCGTCATGCTCTGTACAAACAGACGAAGAAGATTCCACGTATTTACTCTGATTGGTACATACATGAACCGCACAGGCATGAGCTAGTTACTGAGTAAGTCATGAGATGTGTACGAGAAGGGCTTGAACAGAGGTGCGAGAGCACAAGTAACTGAGCGGGACGAGTCAGAGGGTTTTTGTGTGTGAGGACTCACCGCTGACACCAACGTGTCTGGGCAAAAGCAATCAATGCCTGAGCGAGGCTCGCGTGAGAGGACAAACATTGGACCTTATGCTGAGATAGATGCCTGAGTTACTAAGACGCGCGAAACGGGAATGGGGGCTCCTGCCTTTAACTGCCTACTAAGAAGATTACATATATTGTTGTTCAAGAGTCAGCGAAGCTCCCCTCGTTAATCGTCTTGGCCGAAACTCCAGATAAGATGTTGGCTATCACGAATAATTCTCCTTTCGTCTCTGTAATTCAGTTTCTCTCTTTATAAGGTTAATTAGTCTGATTGATCGGTGCCTGGCTGATCCGGCTGCATTATGACAAGGTTCAGGCCCTCCGTAGGTTGTGTGAACAGGTGAATAGGTGAGTAGCCCCAACACATAACAGAGGTCCAAAATGTACGTGCAACCTGTCTTTAGTAATTAGTGAGGTTGAGAGCGCTGGATATTCCTGGTATTGGCATGTTATTCACGTTTGTCTATTGGATGTGTTTCTCGCATTGAGTGGTTCACTCGACTGCTTGGCAAGGCCAGAGTTACGCAACCTTCTTATTGCGTGCTTGAGCCCTGTGAAGACGAAGATCGCAAAATGCAATTAGGATCTTGACCTTTCCTTTTCTTTTTTTTTCTTTTTTTTTCTTTCGTCGTACGACTGTTCGAGCGAAGTGAATGTGTTGACTTACATGCGTTCATTCGATCGAACGCTCGTTTGTAGTTGTACGAGCGCGCTTGTACCCTGAGATAAATTGAGAGCAAGACTATGCAAGCTTACAAGCGCCCGCGCGAATAAATGAATGTGCAACTAAATGTTTTGCGAGTTTGAATGACTGCAAACCAGTAGTTGTTCTAGTATACTGGTCTACTTCCGGGCTCACTTAGTGGGCTTATATGTTTGGAGAGGACACATGGGCGATTTCCATTGGCTATGTTTTATGGCCTTGATCTCTGAATGGATGGGGAAGAGAAAAGCAATAATGAGAAAAATCTCTTACGTCCTTGCTAAATTTTTGCTTGAGGGTGACTAAATTGCTTAAATTTATTTGGGTTGGGCCAGCTCCAACTCAAAGAAAAGTAGCCTGAGTTCCCGTTATAGCCAGCTGGGTCTTGACTACGTCGTGAGAGTGCACTGAGCGCACTCTTTTTACCCGTTCTCAAGAGACTCTTGCCCTCAGCTGATCTCTGCGTTACAAAAAGCTACGAGAATACTAGGGCAATTTTCTCAGAGACCTCGTTTCTACCTGCTTCACTGAACTTGAGTGCGGACTTGTTAAATGTCTGTAGCCAGGTCTTCAGGCGAAAGGTCTAGGCTCTGAGCACCAGCCATGTCAAGCCTTTTGCAAAGTGGCATTGATGAGTAAGGTCTGTCTTGAATTAGGTGGGGGCTATACTTAGGGTCGAGTATTGAGCCCGGACCCTCAGCTTCTGAACTAAAGCCCCTATCAGATGGCTCCCTACCTGAGTAGCCGCACCTAAAGACCTTGCCCACGATACAGCAGTCAGAGCCCACAATTAATAAGAATCCTCCTCATCTTTTACTTCGTTCAGGGATACAGAAAAACCCTTTCCTCGCCCTTTCAACGACTTCATTCGAGCTCTGAAACAATAAGCTTAAATTCTGGCAACTACTACAGATCTGTGGTTCTATAGTCATCCGTCAGATCCCTGCATTTTTGACTGGTTACCTTGGGGTCTATTCTGTGTGTGACTGAGGGTCAGTGCCACGGTCAAGTGAAAAACAGCACGACGAAGTTTCGTGAGAGACGTTAGCGGTCCTCTTCCCATCCTGTCCCTGCAGGCTGAAGTCAGGACTATGAGAGGGGCGTGATAACCATGGAAAACAGAGACAGGGTGAGGATGACCTACGCCCTCCATCTGGACAAGAGGGGTGACTGGGAGGAAAAAGCAGTTGAGAGAATCCCGTACATCTTGGGGCTGATGAGAAGGAGGGTGCTCGAAATAGTGAAAGATCAGAAGTTTGCGGCATATACTGTCTTCGTTTACGGGTCGGATGGGCGATTGCACAACACCTTCTCATCAGTAGAAACGGTGGGACAGGCCAGGGCAAGGCTTGTATGAGCTCTGCGGTACTCTAATCACCATACTCAGAACTCTATCATCTCCGAACGGCAACAGGCCGCACCCTCCTCCTGCAGCATAGTGACATAGTGAATCATAACTTGGAGAC